AAATGTGTCATAGACGTAAAAACGGCTACTTATATCATTTTTAAGCCTCTAAAGGACCCCTCAGTTACCCGGCTTCACGTGCAAAAACTATAAATATCATCCCGCTGTCTGTCTGTCCCTATGTATGCTTAGATCTTTAAAACCAAGAAACGGATCTTGATGCGGTTTTTTCAGTAGATAGTGATTCAAGAGGAAGGTTTATAATTATGTATAATACATTGCACCCGTGCGAAGACGGGGCGGGTCGCTAGTATATTATATTAGAAGAACTCATGTATTATTTATTTATCTTCACTACATTTATGAGTGAGCATAAAACAAAGCACAAACACTTTCATAAAGAAAATGAGCTACTCTGAATCATCGTCAGAGGTACGCTTAGGAAAAGTTAGACTCGGAGAGAGTAATCAATAATCATACATTTCAGTGTTTCGTTGCGGTCCATGTTTTCCGTCAGAACCTAACGGCTAATTAGTTTTAATAGAATGTACATTGCGGGCAGGTAAGCCGATTATGCACCGCAAGCACACTACGGTATACGACCTGCTTCTGCGGGGCTCGGGTCTTGGAGGATTTACATATTTGAATATACACAATCAAACTTTGACGTACGTGTTAAATTCGCTGCAAACAGCTGGAGAACATTCAAGGTCCTGACAATTTACGTTTCCTTTACGTTCCATGTAAAACGATGTTGTTTTACTTCAGTGGATTTAAATTTATTAGTTTTTAAGGCCCCATACCCAAAGGGTAAAACGGAAACCGTATTACTAAGACTCCGCTGTCTGTCTGTTCGTCTGTCACCAGGCTGAATATCTTCTACTTCTTCTTTGATCAATGGCTTCTCTTAAAAGAATTCTGCCAATGTCATGTCAGTCATGGGAGTCACACTTATTAATGAGTTACAAAAGAAAAAAAAAACGGTTTGTGTGATACTTCCGAATCTACAACAAGAACAAAAAAAAACATTTACTATCCCATTACCAAAGTCAGTTTAGGCTGTATCTCATGAACCGTGATATTTTGACCGTTGAAATTTTCACAGACGATGTATTTCTTTTGCCGCCATAACAACAAATACTTAAAAACGGAATAAATTTACGTACATACGTTTCATCTGATCATTAAGAAGATCATTCTGGTCAATTCCGAGAGTTTAACCATCCTTTTGGCAACTAAAATTTAATTGGAAAAGCCATTTAACAGTTGATTAATCGACATCTATAATGATCAGTGTTTCAAAAACACTTAATAGGTACTAATTCAACTTTCGTTGATTATTATCATTACATAAATTTAACTTTGGTTACTCAAATATTAATAAATTATCATATTAACGAATACATAAAACTTTGTTTAACATTTGATGACGATGACTCCGTGGCGCAGTTGCCAAGGTATTGACTTCGGCGTCGAGGGTCTTGGGTTCGATTCCCACACGGGACAACTATTTGTGTGACCCACAGATAGTTGTTTCGCATGTCCTTTACAACACAGGATAATATTATCCTAAAGTAAGGGCATTTAAAAAAAATGAAATTATTTTTAATTACACTAAGTATCGACTTAAGACTGATTCAAACTAAACTATCAAGATACCGTACTTAATTAATAAGACTCGAAATAACCAAATATTACACTTTAACGTTCAGAAAAAGTTGTTTATTTTTTCAAATTGAAAATAATATGTGCACCTAAAATATAGAATTCAGTGCACATATTAAGTACACATATGAAGTAAAATCCCTATGTATGTATGTTGAAAAATACATATACAACGAGAAACAAGTTATCTATCCGCATCGGCGTGAGCCCCAGTAATGAAATACCGCTGATATCTTTTTGAGCACATTCCATTTTTCATGGGTACACGGTGTTGTAACATTATATTGCCGTATTCTAGAACTTTTTACACGCAAAGATGGAGTGTGCTAGGCAGGTAGTTCAGTGACGGGGCTCAAAGAAGAGGAAGAAGAGGAAAAGTGAAGTAAACAAAAGAAAGAAATAATTTTCAAAATCAAAAAAAGTAAACACGGGAAAATGTCAAAAAAAAATTTAAGGATGTCTAATCCCTTCTGTACAGAGGAGGCGTTTGCCCAGCAGTGGGACAGTGGATGTGTAGGCTGATACTTCACTTACTTCTATTTTGTGCCGAACGAGACGGGTGAACATTTCCTGTCATGCAAGATGTAAGTAAAAAGACGTAATGTTTTCAGTAATATTAATGTAAAGCTGTTATGTAAATATAACTGTTCATGACTCGCTTAAACACATACATAGTTATGAAAGCAAATGTATTGTCATTTGTCCTTTAAGCGACTAACTAAAGTATAATAATACAAGAGAAACTAACAGTTAAAGCATTGCACAAGTCATAGTAAGCAGATTTCTGGAGCCAGAAAGCTTTGAGTGAAACATTTATTCTACTCATAGTGAATAACTAAAATATATTCCATATTATTAGTTTACGGTGTGTGGTCACGTATCGGAGTTTCGAACGTGCGACCTCGGAATAACGTAATTTGGACATTCAATCGACTTACCTATAATTCTGCGGGTGAGTGAAGGAATACTTCATAATACTGCGAATATTTATTTCGTGTTTGCTATTATTGTGGTGAAATTGAGGTGGCTCAGTACCTGTGATTATTTCTTGCTTATGTAGTAGTTATTACTATTTGTTAGGGTTCATATTAAGTTCATATGTAACTCTGTCTGTCTGTCTCGCTTTCACGCCAAAACTACTGAAGCGATTTAAATGAAATTTGGCACGCAGATAATCTAGAGCCTGAGAAAGGAAATAGACTATTTTTTGATGTGAAACATCTGTAGCCGCACGTAAAACCGCGTCGCCACGCTATATGATGGTATTTATATACAGTCTATAATTATGCAGTAGTGGGTACGATTAATTACTCAAATTTAAATTAACTGTTAATAATGATTTATTAATTATAAATTAATTAAATTAACTTTAATTAATTGTGTGTAGTATTACCGAAGTCACTGATTAAACGAGTTAAGTAGTCACGATTTGAAATAAATTCATAAATTTTTGTATTTAATGAAATCTTCGGCAAATCTTCTCGTCGAATATACCTCAATGTTTGAAGACTAAAGTCTTCAATCAATGTGTGTTGCCAGTGATGACCTACGGAACCGAGACGTGGTCCTTCACTGCTGGCCATATGAGGAAGCTCAAAGTCGCTCAGCGAGCTATGGAGCGGGCTATGCTCGGTATTTCTCAACGAAGACATCCGCAGTAGAACCAAGGTGACCGACATAGCTCAGAGGATTAGCAAGCTGAAGTGGCGATGGGCCGGCCATATAGCTCGTAGAACCGATAACCGTTGGGGAAGAAAGGTTCTCGAGTGGCAGCCTCGTACTGGCCATCGCAGTGTAGGACGACCCCCCACTAGATGGAGTGACGACCTGTGCAAATGTGCGGGAAGTCGATGGATGCAGGTGGCTCAGGATCGTACTTCGTGGCAGTCTATGGGGGAGGCCTATGTTCAGCAGTGGACTCAAACAGGCTGAAATGATGATGATGATGAATGTTTATTCAATAAATAGTCATCGTTATCTGGAAAAAAATTGTAATATTTTATTTTATCATTATGACATATTTAGTTCCTATCACAAACTGTTCTTTTCTGCATATTACTTTTACAAAATAATGTCGATATTTCACATCTGCCAGGCGTCCCGTGACGGCTCATTTTTTTAGTGGATAAAAGTGTTGTTAAGGGTTGAAAATAATATGAAACAATTTCTTTAAAATATATATATTTTGCGTAATTCTCACGAAAATATATACATATTCATGCGAGTGAAGCCGCGGGCGAGAAGCTAGTACCTATATATTTATTTGAATAAATGGTCTTTTGCCTATAGAAAAGGTCACGGCTGCGTGCTGTGGACTTGAGATTTTGATTTTTGAGGTTGTTATCTAATCGCAATTTCTAACCATCTCTAACCGATAAATAAATAGAAAAAATAAGGCGTGAGATCCAAATGACAAGTACTGTATATAATAATAAAATGTTAAACTTATTAAGTAAGAAAATATTAAAGCACATTTTAGTGACATACTCTAAGTAGTCTCCAATTTGTCTTTATTATTATTAGCTTTACTTTATTTTATCTAGTTAAGAAGGTAGAAAATAATGTTTATTATTCATTCATTCATTCATCTCATAATAAATATGTTCTTTTCATTCATTCACTCTCTTCCGCCCAGGCATCGACAGTTGACTAAGTGCTCTATACAAATATTTAAATAATAAGTGAATAAAGTGCAATAAACGTGCTAAATTGTAAAACCAGTGACTTTGGATATCCATTCCGAACCCCTCACATATCAATTAGTTCAAACATTAACATTATTTTGGTCATTCGAGTTTTTAAAATTCCTGCTTCGTGTTTCAAGATCGCCATTTTGTTATCGCAGTGATCGATGCGTCGTTAGTTACGTGAACAATTTAGCTCGTGAAATCATTCGACAGGTCACTCATTGTTCGTTCCTATGGTGCTGCGCTCTGCCGGCGGGAAGAAGCAATCTCATGGAATATTCGATTTTTCGCAACAGCGACATCTGGTGTTCAAAGGCGCACACGCCAAATCCTTCGAGCAACGGTAATATTTTATCGACCGGACAGCTCCCACTACCAATCAAAAGGCGTCAAATCATCGTCAAAAGGCGAACATGCCAACCAATCAGAAGATTTTACTGTTTTATCATTCGTTCAGCGTGAGGTAAACAATAGACTTTGTTACTTCGCTCGCTTCGCTACTATTCTATCTACAATTTTCTACATTAATACAAGTATCCGTGTGATTAATTAAAAAATAAGCCTATTCATCCTTCAGTTATATTATTAGCAATACTTGTTGAACAAGTTGTTGAACATTAACCTGTGCGTTTTATCGATGAAAGTTGATGGTGTGCAGCCATTTCCACTCCTGCGCATTTCTGTGTCCGTGTCGCCACGAAGCCTAAAATGGCTGCGTCTCAAGAATTTTACAAATCAAAACGCGCGACCATCAAGGGAAAACTCACAAGAATAGCGAACTTCCTTAAGAGTTTTGATGAGAAAAGTAACACTTTTGCTGAAATCAAAGCGCGTCAAACGGAATTGGAGAAAATATTCACTAGTTTTGATGAAGTTCAATCTGCGATCGAGGAATTCGATTATGAGTTAGCCGAGAAAAGGGCAGCCCACGAAAAGGATAGGGAAGAATTTGAGGCAAAATACTTCTCTACAACATCACAAATGGAAGCTCTTTTAACCAAGGACTCGATAAGAACGTCAGATAATGAAAAGCCGCGTGTGAAATTACCACAGTTGGAGATCCCAAGGTTTGGAGGTGATCTACAGCAATGTCGACAGTCGACGAGGGCAACTTACCAGTAATAACGAAGCTACAGTACCTAAAGTCTTCACTGGTAGGTGAGGCTGCTGGTCTAATCTCTTCGCTACATATAACAGAAGAAAACTACTGTAAGGCTTTGGAAATCTTATCCCATAGATATGAAAATCTAACTATAATCGTGAACTTTCATCTGAAAGCAATTGTGAACTTTGGCAATATTACAAGGTATAACTTAAAATACTTTTTAAATACTCTACAGCAAAGTTTAGATTCATTAAGAGCTATAAAATTGCCCGTTGACAGCTGGGATGCTATTTTGGTATTTTTTATATGTCAGAAATTGGAAAATTCACTACGTGCTGCTTGGGAACTTAACCGTAAGGAGAATTCTATTCCCACTATGTTTGAATTGCTTGAGTTTTTGAATGCACGCAGAACTGCTTTTGAAATTTTTAAAATTTAACATGCTACATCAGCTGTTATCAATCAGATTAACTGTGTACTATGCCAGGGTAATCATTATTTGCATAAATGTCCTAATTATCTAGAACTATCTATTAATGACCGCATAAGTCTCATAAGAAGTAAATCATTGTGTTTTAACTGCTTACAGCCTTTCAAAGCACAACATAAGTGTTCTAAATGTAAGTGCCTAACTTGCCGGGGAAGGCATCACACAAGTATACATTTAAACCAACAACAAAGTGTAAGTTATGCTTCAACTAAATCCTATAGTTTACAAGCTCAACCCTCAATAAAAACAACTATTGTGCCGTCTCAATCTCTAGCTACAAATAATATTTTTTCTACAGGTACATCTGCCAACTCTAATAACATAAATTGTTCTAAAGGACAACTACATGCTCCTACCACTGAATTGCTACCACAAACGCTTCAAGCTCAATCGCAACTACATGCAAAGACAGCTCAATCACAAACACTTCAAGCTCAATCGCAACTACATGCAAAGACAGCTCAGTCACAAAAGCTTCAAGCTCAATTGCTACCACCTGCAAACACAGCTTCATCACAAACCATGCTTACTCCTACAATGCAGCAGCTATTACAAAATACATCACACAACAGCACTTCTACAGTTCTCATGTCCAATACTAATCAGCAACAAATACTGCTTTCCACAGCCATAATCCAGATTCAAGATGCTTCAGGCAGATGGATAAGTGCACGAGCTCTCCTAGACGCTGGCAGCGAGGTCAACATTGTGACCCACAGACTGGCCTCGTTATTACAAATTGACATAAAGGATGAGGCCTATACCATTCACGGGATTGGTAATAGTGTAAAGAAATCACAAGGTACCATACAAACTATCATTTCATCTCACTATAATGATTTTAAAGCAGATCTCACATTTATAGTTATGGATAATATTGCTTTGCCCCTACCACACAACTACATTCATACTAACACATGGAATATTCCTACAAAACAAGCATGTGCTCTTGCTGACCCTACTTTTCTCATACCAAGTAGAATTGATATACTGATAGGTGCTGAATTATTCTACACTATATTGCTATTAGGCCGCATAAAGCTGGGTACACACTTACCTTTCTTAATAAAAACCACATAACCTCATTGATAACACATTATTATCACACCAAATTACTACATGCTGGTCTGCAAAACACACTATACAATATTAGACTAAAATATTGGCCCATCAATGGTAGGCGTGAAGTCAAAAAATGTATTCACTCCTGCATTAGATGTATTAGGTACCGAGGATCAGTCTGGGCAGCAAATGTCAAATCTGCCTGCTCCAAGGGTAACTTTAACTCGTGCATTTACCCATGTAGGCATGGATTTTAGTGGAGCCATTGCTATAAGAAATTCTATAGCTAGGAATTGTAGGTATTCTAAAGGATACATATGTTTACTTGTGTGTATATCAACTCGCGCAATTCATTTAGAGTTGGTTAATGACCTATCTTCTCAAGCCTTTATATGTGCTTTAAAAAGGTTTATTTCTAGACGAGGGATTCCTATCTGTTTATATTCTGATAATGCAACTAATTTTAAGGGTGCAAGATCTGAACTGTTCGAGTTATATAAGATGTTTAAAAATGATAAATGTTACAGTGATATAATCAATGTTCTATCTAGTATAAGTATTTGGGTCAAATCAATGTTCTATCTAGTATAAGTATTTGGGTTTTTACCTAATGTAATAATATAGGTTGGTACCTAGTATCCTATTTAGTATTAAGATATTTACTGTTCTAAAATGTTTAGTATTAAAGTGATATTAGCTATTTTTGTAATAAAGAAACATTTCCTATTTTGTAGACAAACACCTAGTTTTGAAATATTTGCTACTTATTAATTATTTGTTGCTTTTCAAAGAGAGCCTTTAATGATTGTTTCATTTTGGTTTTTATCATAGCTTAAGCTTATGGTTAATGTTATATAAAAATTCTACTCACTAAAATAAAAGATCAGGACTCTTAAAGTCAAATTTTATTATTGTATAAACTTAGATATAATTTTGCATTTTGAAAAAGGGCGAGAATGTTTATTATTCATTCATTCATTCATCTCATCTCATAATAAATATGTTCTTTTCATTCATTCACTCTCTTCCGCCCAGGCATCGACAGTTGACTAAGTGCTTTATACAAATATTTAAATAATAAGTGAATAAAGTGCAATAAACGTGCTAAATTGTAAAACCAGTGACTTTGGATATCCATTCCGAACCCCTCACATATCAATTAGTTCAAACATTAACAAATAATGTAAATTATGAAAAATACTGATGTAATTAATTACCTATTTCCAATTTTGGGTTTCAAATTTTTGATTAACTATTGCGTATACTTCTTATTCTTGTCAGTCCAAAAATACCATGAAATGCTTCGTGGAGATTCATTTATACCACATGGAATGAAACTCCTTTAGTGTTGCCAACATTATATTCTCACTTCCATCGTTCAGAAGGTTATTGTATAACTTTTTCACCTCGTGCCATTTTCGTCCAAAGCTGAGCTGGATTAAAAATTCAAATTGAAGTATTTAAGAGGGCGGTAGCTTCCAGCGTTAACGTGCTAATGTACCCGAATTTTGTAGTTACCGGACTTTTGCGTTAGTAATAAAGCCGCTGCATATTTTAGCCGACGCCGTACGGCCACCGATAAGAGTTTCTTTCTAACCGACTTAAAAAGAAGGAGGTTTCTCAATTCGACCGTATATATTTTTATTTTTTATGTGTGTTCGCGGGTAACTTCTTCGCTTATGAACCGATTTTGATGATTTTTTTTTATTGGAAAGGAGATATCCCAAGGGTGGTATCATGATAAGGAAACACGGATCTGATGATGGCATCCCATAGAAATCGAGGGCAATCCTGAGATGTTATAGGTATTAACAATGTTTTTTAGTTTCCAGTTTGAATTCGGTTTTTTGTTAAAAATTATAGCTAAGACAAAATCCATAAAGTCAAATAAAATTTGAAAGTGCCTGCATACTGCGATTTACCTTGCTAGGTGGTGATAAAATTAAAAAACCGGCCAAGTGTGAGTAGGACTCGCGCGCGAAGGGGTCCGTACCATTCATTATCTATAAAAACGGCAAAAAAATTATGTCTGTTGCATGGGAGCCCCACTTTAACATATTTTTTTAAATAATGCCCTAAAAAATTGCGCAAGAAAATTGCAATCATATTTCGTAGCAGTAAATTACGGTACGGAAAATATGTCACTGCGGATTAGGCTCGGAGAAAATTGAGGAGTGGCTGTTCTTTTATCATCCTAAAATAAATTCTTCACAAGGAAAAAAAAATACTGCCTAAAAACAGGCTACAATTCTCTTAACACATAATTATTTCAGTTCTTGTATTATATTACCATGAACACGAAAAAAATGTCTGTCATTCATTTATTCATTAGGTTACCGGTGTACCTATTTCTTTAGGAAGGATTCAAGAGACGACGAAACGTAATGAAATGACGCATCTTTTATAAGTAGACAAATTTTGATTGATTTTGATCTTGATCGTGATATCAAGATCAAAATCAAAAAAAAAATGATGTGGTGTCGTGGGACACCAGGTAGGAACGAAGTTCCTTCGGCTAATGTAGAATCGACACAAATTGCAAAAAAAATCGTGCTCAATTTTATGTAGGTTATTTAAGTACAAGAAAGTATTTAGGAAATTCAGTATTTTAGGAAATAATAAATTATTTAAAATAAAAAAACATCGTAATTCAAATTATCAACTAAAATAACAAAATATGTCTCTTTATTTTTGTTTGACAACATAAAATTATGCGATTGTCGCGCCTGCGCACGTCTCATTTAACAGTTTTATTCCACGCACTTTTTTCCACGGATTTTTTCTTACGGTTTTACTATAACATTTTTTTCAGTTCGGTCGCGCAGCAAAATCCCTATCTCCTCCAAGCCTGCCGTAAGGAACTTCGTTCCAATATATTTATTCAAATAGACGCTTGCGCGCTCTTAAGGATCGTCAAATTTTACATCAAATATTATGTGTATAGGTTCGTAAGGTACCACCGGTTCGTAAAGCGGTTTCTGTTGAGAAGAGACCGGCAAGAAACTCAACAGTTGCTCTTTTTCAAAAACATCAGGGCACAATATAACATACAGGTATAATAGTCTTATTCTAGCCTACGTGAGTATCAACAGTATTAACTCCACACATTGGCGTCGTTGAGATATTCCGAAATGGTATGATACGCTTTAATCATTAGTTGATTTTTAATTTTACATTTAAATTGGTCAAGCGGCAGAGTTAATATCGACTGTATCTATAGTTAATAATATCTGAGCAAAGTATCATCTTCTTCCTATACCTTCATTTATTGTTGACCCGATTGACGAAGTGGGTCGTGAACCTTTCTATTGCGCTAGAGAACACACACCGGGTTCGATCCCCACTAGTGTAAAAATATTATGTGATTAACATAGTATTTTTTTCAGTGACTGGGTGTTAATACATATTATATTTCACTGTGGTAAGACCACGCAACAGTCATCGCTTTTGCACGAATGGGCA